ACCGGATTTTCGACCTCGGAAGCTAAACGACGAAGAAGAAAAATGTTGAAATGACACCAAAATCGTAGCTTTTTCTCGACGCTGAATAAAATAAAAAAAACAATCATCGAAATTCGAAACTCTTCGCTGTTTAAGCCCATTAGTTGGCCTATTAGGCCCGTTAATAAGCTCCAACAGTAAATTTTGTTTTTTTGCGCGCGTTTAATGGACTTTTTAACGAAACAGATGTCAGAAATCAAATGTCATAGTCAATAAGGGATTTTTTTGACCCGTATGCATGTTTTATGCAATTTCTATTTTTGTGAAAAAATTCAACAAAATTGATAAACCATTTAAAATGGAAGATTTTTTTCTTTTTTCATAGATTTTTTTCCAAAATGTAAGATTTTTTATGTAGACTTTTTCATTAGTTCTTTAAAGATTATGTTTTCAAGTTTTATCGAAATTTGGATATTAAAAACTTATTGTTGAATCACAAACTTATATATTTTTCGATGGTTTCAATATGTAATACGGCCAAATTTAAAGAGTATTTTTTTTTGATAAAACTAGCAAACAAAACAGTAAAATGTATCTACTTATCATATCAAGATATCCAAATAAAAAAAAGTATTTTAAAATAAATTTAACCCATAACTAATAGTTGGCTGATTTTTATCAATATCATTATGTGTTATCATCTAAGTTCAAATATTAAGTTTGCAAATAAATATATAAAAGGTGAAAATGATTTTAAAAAAAAGTAATGAATCAAATATTACCATACACATAAATAACAAACTCAATCTACAAATATTTCTATAGGAAAGAAATATTTCCACAAATTGATAATCATCCACAAGTAATTAAATAATCTAAGCCAGAAAAAATAGGAAATATCATCTTTAATTTGTGCTATTCCACAACCTTAAATTAAAGATAAAAATAGTGAAAGAATTTAAAAAAAAATACATATTTTGTTTTTTCAATATAAAAACAGAACATCAGAAATTTCAAAAAATGTCACTTTTCAAATACCATTTTACAAAAATACCATTTTTTCAAAATTACTTTTT